AGGGCGACCAGATTCCTTAATTTTATAGGGACCGTGCTGCTATTTGGGGCTTTCTCTTATATTGGCACCTAACACCTTCTACCCCTACCCTGGTTTTTCACACTTGCTCACCCTAGCTGGGGTCAGTTGGCGGGAAGGGGGTTAAATTGAATGTGGCTATTTGAGTTCAGACTGGAGGGCCGGATGCCCATCACCCTGGCCCCGGGCCTTGGGACTTCCAAGAAATGAGCCTGGTGCGAGTGCGTTGCACGGCAATGCACAGGACAAATCAAAGCGCCGAAAGTTACGCACGTGCGGCAAGATCCCTCTGGAGTGGTTTACACGCGCCTTACGTAAAAGAGTTCCCAGAAGTGGGCTCCTCGCTTTCCCGGAGCAGGAGGCAGATCCGGCCCCTTGGCCAATGTCAAAGGTTTTGAGAGCGCGAGTTAAAAAAACAAACCAACGGGCCCGATTTCTTGTTTTTTAGGCCCGGCGAGAGTTCCTGATTCCGGCGGGGAGCTGAAGGTTTGCTCCAGAGATCAGGGTTTCCTGGAGGAAGTTGGAACAGGGAGTGAATTCGGGGAAGTCTTAAAATGTTTGTACCCCGTTGGCCCCAGGGGTACACAGAGAGAAAGCAGGATTCGCTCCTTGTTCTCTGCGGCCGCTGGCCTGGGGCTGAGGCCAGAGAGCAGAAGAGTTTGTGAAAAGTGTGTGTGTGGGGGGGAGGGAATTGTGTGTGGATTGTGTATATGCATATGTGCATTTGAGTGCTGAGGATTGTGTATGTGTTGTATGTACTTTTTGTTTGAGGACTGCTTGTGCTTATGGCGTGTGCGTGGGGATTGTGTGGGTAAGTGTGTGTGTTGTGTTAGTTTATTTCTTGTGGGGGGATTGTGTGTGTTTGTGTACATTTTGTGTGAGGGGGATTGTGCATGTGTACCTTTTTGTTCATTTATTTCTTGCGGGGAGGATTGTGCGTGTTGTGTGTACATTTTGTGTGAGAAGGATTGTGTGTGTGTATACAATTTTGTTTATTTTTTGTGGGGAGGATTGTGCGTGTTGTGTGTACATTTTGTGTGAGAAGGATTGTGTGTGTGTGTGTGTACAATTTTGTTTGTTTTTTGTGGGGAGGATTGTGCATGTTCTGTGTACATTTTGTTTATTTCTTGTGGGGAGGATTGTGCGTGTTGTGCATACATTTTGTGTGAGGAGGATTGTGTGTGTGTATATTTTGTTTATTTTTGTGGGGAGGATTGTGCGTGTTGTGTGTACATTTTGTGTGAGAAGGATTGTGCATGTGTACATTTTGTTTGTTTATTTCTTGTGGGGAGGATTGTGCGTGTTGTGTGTACATTTTGTGTGAGAAGGATTGTGCATGTGTACATTTTGTTTGTTTATTTCTTGTGGGGAGGAGTGTGTGTGTTGTGTGAACATTTCATGTGAGGAGGATTGATTGAATGTGTGTGTGTGTACAGCTTGTGTGCACATACGTTATGAGTGTTTACATTTTGTTGTGAGTTTATACATGTTTTGTCTGTGGGTATGTTGCACACACACACAACTCTCTGTGCATAATCTGTGAGTTTCTGCTTTTTGTGTTGCAGTATACGCAGAGACAAACCAGAAACATCAGAGAGATATATTTGTGTTGACTAAGCCTGTGTGCATTTGTGTATTATATCTGTGTGAGAGGGTGCATATGTATGGGTGGCTGTGTTTGTGTGGGTGTGTTTTCAATGTGTTTGTATAATTGTATGGACTAATATGTAGTATGTGTTGCTCTGTGAGCGTGTTTCTGTGGGGGGGAGTTGTGTGTATATTTTGTGCGTGTGTCTTAACCGTATGGTGTGTATACAAACACACACAGCACAGGGCTCACCCACTCCAGCAAGGGACAGCCACACACATGCCATAGAATTTTAACTCCAGTATGTTCTCCTGCAGGGGATGGTTGTGTGAGTATCTACAGAACTGTGCATGTGTGTGTCCCTGTGCTTCTGGGAGTGTGTGTGTGCGACCACGTTTGTATGCGTAGGGTGGTTTGTCTAATTCTAAAGTGTTTGTGTACGTGGGTATGAGCGGGGGGCGTCTGAAGCTGACTGGGAGGGTAGGTGAGTCCGTGTGTGTCCAAGCCCATTTGTGTGTTAACATTGCTGTGTGTGTAGCAACTGCGTCTCTGGCGTGTGTGTGTGTTTTCTTCACAGAATTCCCAGCATGCAAGTAAGTGCACACACCCCTTCCCCACCCCTCACGTCCTGGGTGTGATTCTCAGGGGGGCTGGGAGCCAGAACAGTCCAGGGGTCTTTCTCCTGCTCTGGGAGGGCAGTGGGGCCTACTGGTCAGAGCAGGGGAGGCCGGACACCTGGGCTCTCTCTCCAGCTCTGGGAAGGGAGTGGGGTGCAGTGGTTGGAGGGGAGGGACGGGCTGGGATTCAGGACGCCTGGGTCTTTCCTCAGCCCATGGGTCGTTGGGCAGGTTGTGGGGCGCGTTAAACAGCCTGCGTGTGATGGAAACCAGCGAGGGCAGTGGGGCCTACTGGTCAGAGCAGGGGAGGCCGGACACCTGGGCTCTCTCTCCAGCTCTGGGAAGGGAGTGGGGTGCAGTGGTTGGAGGGGAGGGACGGGCTGGGATTCAGGACGCCTGGGTCTTTCCTCAGCCCATGGGTCGTTGGGCAGGTTGTGGGGCGCGTTAAACAGCCTGCGTGTGATGGAAACCAGCCCGTCTCCTG